GAACGACTCAATTCAAGGTTTTCAATAACCATACAAAGAACTCGATACTCGAAACTCATCAACTCAGAACTCAAGAACTTCAATGATACTACTCATTTCAAGAATGCTCAACTCATAAGGTTCATGCGTAATTATTTCCATGAACAACTCAACTCAAGGACTCAATGATACTCCTCATCTCAAGATTTCTCGACTCATATGGTCCATGTGGAATTATGGGCATGAACTACTCAACTTAAGGACTTCATGGATAATATGTAATCTCAAAAGGGTTTAGGAACTCAATACTCAAGACTTAGAACTTGAATATACTACTCCTCTCAAAGGTACTCTATTTATGAAGTTTATGCGGAATTTATGGGAATGAAAGACTCGACTCAAGGGTATACATAACATTATGGAACTCATGTATCCAACTCTTCTCATTCTTATACTTACTTCCTCAAAACTTATCTCAAAATGATAGTTGATATCAAAGGATTCACAATTGAACTCAAAGACTTTATTGAACTCTACTCTTTAACTCTTTATTGAATGTGAATTATGAATTCAAGAGTTATGGTTCATGATATGAAGAATATCGTGATGATAAATTAGACTAATGAATACATTCTCATATTCACTTGCTCGAGTCTTGAAACAAGTTACTAGAAGTTGTAGAAGACTCCACAAAAGGACTCAAAGGGACTTTCTTAGAGTGTTCGAAAGAATTCTCAAAAACTTAGCTCTTAACTCTACCTTGAATTTGAATTATGAATTATGAATTATGAATTCAGGGCTATGATCATTTTATGAATGATTTCTAGGTGTTTAGAAGTAGCTTAGAGTAGTTAGAATCGAAAATGAGTGAAGGTACCCTTCAAAAGAACTCAAACGGAGCAACCGATTGCAAATCGGACGGGGCAGGCGACCCTAGCGCTCTGAGTGGCACGGGGCTCCAGCCCCTAAACTTCAGAACATGATTTGGGGAGCACTGGCTGGTGTGGCGCGCCAGGCCCCAATCTAGAAAACCCGACAAATTTCTTTGCTCGTTTTCTCATCCTAACTCGCCTAGAATCGAATGGTTTCTTCCCCAATCACATGGATTTGATTACCAAACATAAGTACAGTCTAATATACTCAATACAACCCTCAATAAACTAACTTTGATCTCAAGAAATCATCAAAACTCCAACACAACAAGATTTATGATGAGCTTCAAGAACACTTCTCAAGAACTCATTAGTAACTCTAATCTTTCAACTCAAGAATGAATTTCGCTGAAAATAACATGATTGGCGTGTGGGTGAACAAACCCAATACTATGTAAGCTTACATACTTCTTAGAGATTAAACCCATTGCAAAAATCCGCAACAAAATATAAGACTCTCGACGAACGCTTTGATCCTCTCCTCTTTTCTCCTCTTTTCTCTTCTTGAACTCTCAACTAAAACCCTAGGCGTATATTAGGATTATAAAAATGAAACTAATTGGATTAGACCTTTAAAACCTTACTAAAAATGAATTAAATCTGATTGGGTAAGGAAAAGACCAAAATATCTCCCCCTTGGGATCATTCGTCCTCGAATGACGAATGGATTGGGTATGGAATAGGTTACTCTTACCAAGGTTTGCGTCTAATGGTATGCTCTTACTATATTCAAGCTTAACCCAAATTCTTAGGTTCAAGTTCTATACCTCTCTATAAGGAATCTCACCCGAAGACTATTACTCTTTACCACCACATTAGGCTTATATCAAGAACCACCTAATGTTTAACAACACCACATTCAATTTTAGTACTCTAACAACTCCATCGACTCTTATTAACCAATTCCTTCGGAGCCAACTAAGGGCCCTCCTTTAACTATTTCTCATAGTAAAACCTTATCCTTCTCTTTTGTAACCTTAGATGGAATTGTCACACTATCCTTATCATGATAAGAACACCAACATCCTTTTTCTAACATCACTTCATTACTAAAAGGAACTCTGGAAAATATATCTATCATACTCTTTGGGACTTATTACTATCTTATCCTCGAATGACTTGATTTCTTCCTATCTCCCCCTTAGGTCTAAGGCAAACACTCGAAAGCTATGAACCTATTCAACATTGACAACTCAATTATGCTATCATGGCACACATGAAAAAACATTAAATTAATTGGAACCTCATCTGGTTATATACCATCTCGACACGCTTCTTAATGCTCTTGTTACTCTTGTGACTTAGCCACACTTAGCTGCCCTTATCTAAAGGTTTGGGTCTCTCACTTGTACTACTCACATTCATTGCAACAACATCTCAATTCCTCACCTACTCTATGTCAAGTCTACTAGATCAAATCTCAAGACTAACATCATCACCCTCATGTTGTCATTCTTTTGATCATGCCACTCACCTCAAATTCAAGCCTAATGTTCATTACTAAATCCGAATATCAATGCGATTGCTCGCCTACTATATTATACCTCATTACTTGATCAATTCTATAACCTTATGAATATCATGACCCTCTCAAATAAATCATAAGCCTATCTTAGATCTATCACTTTATGAATAGTTTTGCTCTTCTATTCAACACTTACACTTGGTCATTACCTACACAATGACACTTCATCGCAAACTCTTTTCTAGCTGAAACACACTCTACCTCATATGCTGGAATCTTTCCAACTCACCACTTCTTAGTTTACCCATAAGGGAAAACTCTCCATTAATATCTTACTAGGTGCATGACTATAGTAACATAGCTTGTCGAAACACCATCTCCCTTACTTAGATTACTAAATCTCTGCATACTTTCCTCTAACTTTGGGATCTTTCACTACTACTGCTCATGATCTCGTAACTCATGTTACCTTTTCGGGTGAAAATACTACCCAAGCTCTAAACATACTTCCTCATAAGGATCTCAGCTGAAACAAGGCTTAGGGAAGAGAGTACAACTCACTTTTAGCTCAAACGCATGATTCACATGAATACGGGTGCATTCCTCTTAAACTCAACACTTAAATCACTCATGGGCTTCTCTTAAGCCCCTTTGGAGTCTCATGACTTCGTTAAGACTTTTCTAAGAGAAACTCATTTATAAAGAACTGACTTTGCTTTTCAACAACCTCTAGTATGATAGGTAGTCAAATGAATCTGAGAAATGCACGAGTATGAGTAAATCTCTATGACATAAGCTCTATTGCACGATTAAGAGTATGAAATAAGGGGAAATTTTCTGAAATGTTTGTAGTCCCTCATTTATAGAAATGGGCCCCTCACAACCATAAACAAGATCCTACTTGACAAGGCTTCATACACCCTAGGATACTTGAACTCTATGCTCTGATACATTTTTCTACATTTACTTGATACATTTACATCATCACAATCTCCCTTTCTTAGATTACAACACCTCTAAATGCATTCTTCTAACTCTGGAACTTATCTTACTATTGGCTCATAATATCGCAAGTTGCATTATTTTTTAGGTGAAAATACCATCTGAGACATTCTAAAACACACTTCCTTCATAAGGGTCTCACCTGAAACAAAGTTTATAGAAAGAGAGTCTGAGAGTACATCTCGCTTTTAACTCGAACGCATGAATCATATGAATAATAGTGTATTCTTTCGAATCCAAACACTTAAGCTCACTCACGGGCTTTTATTAAGCCCCTTTGCAACCTCTTGACTTTTTGAAGACTTTATCTTAAGTTACTTATGGCACAATTCTATTGCATGATTAGAGTATGAAAGAATATGAAACATCTCTTAAATATCCTTAGCCTCCTGATTATAAGTGTGGTGCACAACACACCCATAAGTAAGACTCTACTTGACACGACTTCAAAATACCCCTCACTTTCAAGCGTAATCTAGAATAAGCGTGGCCTTAAGCCAAATTTGTTGTAGTGATTTTTTGATGTGTAAAGTTTTGTGTATATATTTCTTTTACATGTAGAAATCATTGATGAAAGAAAATTGTTATGAAAGTAATATAAATTATTCAACATATAGATATCTACAGATAAAAACAAGAAGCCTCACTGAAAAAAGTTAGTAACCTACACAAATAAATGACAAAAATAATAATGAAAAAGGGGTACAGATAGTTTCGCTAAAGTGATTTCAAGTCGCAAAGTTAGATAGATGACGTTACGAGAATGAAGTACATACAATCCTTGAAATTTATACTCTTTTGGATGGTTATTATATATTATTTCATGCATCATAATATGTTCAAACATCAGATGGTTGGATGATAAAAAAAAAAGAGAAAAATTTGTTGTATCATAGTAAGAATTTAAAATGAATTATAAAGTCCTCGAGATTATTCTAAAATTGTAGATACAAGTTAAATTGTATTAGGATTTTCTATTATGATATTTTTTCACTTGTCATAAGTTACAAGTATATTTTATGAGTTTAGAAACGCTCTAGAACACACACAACTAACTTAAAATTTAAAATAGAGGTGCTTAATTTGTTTTTTTTGTTAAATATGAGTTAGACAGTAAGTATTTTCATATTGTTAATAATAGTGGAATGTCTTTATTAAGCATGCCTTTATTAGGAAATATACATAATTGAACAAGAGAAGATTTAGAAAATATACAAACACAGTAAAAAAAATATTTACCTCAGAAATTATCATCAATTTACATATAAACTTACTAAAACATATGTTACAAAAGAATGACACAATAATTTTTTTTCAATAATCCAATAACATAAATCTAACTAAAAAATATGTCGTTCGTAGTTACTATCTTTACACGTTGACTAACAATACAATGAACCAAAAAGAGAAATTTAACTAATAAGAAATGAGTTTTGTTCAAATCTACCAAATAAGGAAACATCATAAATATTTTTACTTTTTTGTCATTTGAGTTCATTTTCAACTGATACTATGATGATTTTATCGCTATAAATACATCTTTAGAATCACATTTTCTCTTACATTCTCAAAACAGAAGCTTAGCCATGAGAAGACCTAATAATGGCCGACGAAGAGTTAAAATGGCGAGGATGCAAAATGAAAGCAATTTACAAGTAACATTCTCAAAACGACGCGATGGAGTCTTTAAAAAGGCAACTGAGCTCTCCACTTTTTGTGGTGCTGATGTTGTTGTTGTAGTTTTTTCTCCTAGCAAAAAACCATATTCATGTGGACACCCTTCCGTTGAGTCTATTATGAATAGATTTTTGGGAGAAAATCCTTCGACTGATACTGCTGCTCCTAACCCCATCGTTATTGCTCAGCAAAATACTAATACTGATGAGATCAATATGAAGCTAAACAGATTGGAGATTTCATTGGTAAAACAAAAAATATAAGGAGATGCACTTCAAGCATCGAGGAAAGAAGCTCCAATTGAAAAACTCAGTTCCTTTGACCTTAAAAATCTGTGCAAGGCCTTGGAAGTTGGAGATGAAGAAATTGAAAGAGTAGTGAGCATAAAAAAGGAGCGTGGTTCTGAATCTCCATATCAAACCATTGGAAGTGCATTTGCTCCTCTAAGAGTTATAGAACATTGTTCGTCTGATTCCGATGAAGTGCCATCTGGATCCAATGAATATAATTTTCTTGTTTTAATTAAAATTCAATCACTTAATTTGATACTTATATAGTTAAGTTTGTCATATTAATGCTTATGTTTGTTCTATCTTTGATTTTAATTTATCTTTCAATATGTTTATCATGGAATGAAATGTGTTTTTATTTAGTACTTTCTTCGTTTCAATTTCTTTTCTTGTTTTTTTTGTCCTTCCAAAAAGGAATGTCTTTTTTCCTTTTTGGTAACTCTTGGTTTTTAATTTTCACTTTCCATGTTTAAGAACATAAGAATAAAGAGAACCTCGATGCATTTTCAATATCTTCAATTTAAGATTACAAGATACAAAAATATTCTTTATTTTCATTAATTCTGTGCCAAACAAAAATTAGATGAATAAATTAAATTGAAGGGGGTATGTGTTAATTTATCATTTGTAATATTCAAAGTAAGTGTTGAAAGCACAAGTAGTAAAAGATTATTGAATAAGACAATGGAACTCATGTCAAGTAGCTTAAAGTGCAAAATCTAGTTTAAAATAAATTGAGTCCTTATGATGTATCACGTGTATCTATATCTATATATGATAAATAATGTTACTTTATATTGACCGGTAAAGTTGCTGACCACTTAACATTTACTGATCCATTTTGGTAAATATTTAATATTTTTATAGTTAATAAAAGGCCACTAGACATACTATCTAGTGTTATTTATGGATAAAATGTAAAAATCAATAAATATATCATAACACTTAAATTCAAACAAAGAATTAAAAGATCCGCCAATCTTCAAATTCTTGCATTCCTAATGTATGTAATTATGAGTTCTCAATAAAAATAGTCTTAATGTAAGAACCCTTTTGATTTGATTAGATCTCTTCCTTCTCATTGCTGTAAAATAAAGGGAATATATGTAACGACCTACTCCCATCGTTATAGAAAAGCCAACGGAGAAAAAATTTGAGCACGAAAACTTTTTGGTAGTAACTTGAGAATTCTTAACCTAGTTCAAATTTGGACGAAATTGGAGTCAGTGAGCTATAGGGAAATCTGGTAATGAATGAGAGATCTAATTATTAATTTTATCACACGAGTAGATAGCTAAGACATTAAAGAATCCGTACGACTTTACGTAAATGAATTTGGGCGAATAAAACACCCGAAACTGACCTTAGCGTGAACGGATAGTTTCTGACTGTTATGGGTAGAAGGTGTGTTGTGAAATGGCGGTTGTGTCCCGCTACGGCGGGCCAGTCGCGACTTAAGTCAGAATTAAACCTAAAAAACGTCATAATTCTGCAAACATCGTTCTTAAGAGCTAGGAGGCGACCCCAGGAGATTTCTTGACATATTTCCACTACTTTAGGTGCAAAAGGTAAGGCTCTTACTCCCCTAATCCATTTTTTGATTCGTAGAACTTAGATTCTTGGTTATTAATCATTGGGGAGGGTTTTTGGACTGAATTGGATGGTGGGAAAAAACCCTTGCAGTACCTTAGGATCATGGGTTTGGTCTTGGGTTATTGGGTTTCTTATAATCTGGGTAAATTAGACCTTAATTATTGATCCTTACGTTATATTATTTGTTTATAGACCTAAAACAAGTGGAAAAAATCCAGAAAGGAAAGAATCAAGTTTCTTAGGAGGATTAAAGCTTGGTTTCAAGGTAGGTGATGGTTTGATTTCATGTTTGTGTGATGTATGTTAGTATTTGCTTCATTGTAATGCATGTATGTATGCAAATGTTGCATTATTGATTACATCTAATGCAAATAAGTATGAATGCATGATTGTAAGCCATGAATCAACACTTGATTGTATGATTATGAGAATGTACATTGTGATTGTGATTGTGGCATGTTGAATGAATCGAGTGTCACGTTCCGACACATTAACTGGGATTGGATGTTACGTACCGATATACATATTGGAACGGGTGTCACGTTCCGACCCACTAACTTGGATCGGGTGTCACGATCTGGCAAACTAACAATTTGGGTATGAGTTCCATGAGAGGACCATTGACTTGTCATGTATGTGTATTATTAAGAATGTGGAATGGTACATTGCTCATAAAAAGATTATTGATATTGTATATGTTATGTATATGGAATAGCCGCGTGATCCTACCAGTACACTGTGGTTGTGTACTGATACTGCACTTGCTCTTTCTTTGTTGAGTACATGGCATCTTCAGACGACTACTAACAGACCTCATTTAGGAGATCACTGAGCAAGATCGAATTCAAGGGTCAACAAGTTCTTTCAGGCTGCTATGGTGTAACACCGCAGAAAAATGGTAGGTTAACCTAGAGCCTAAGCGTGAGGTTTTGAGTAACTTTCCAGAGATGTTTAGACTCAACTAGGATAAAAAGGGAAGAGGTTAGCATCTAGGATGAAGTCAAGGACCTTAAACTACCTAAGAAAAATGAAGAAAAATAATACCTACCTTTGGTCCATTCGGCGATGGGCAATAGCATCGCCCATGTGCCTTGGCGATGTGCCAAATGGCTCCTCGCCTAGTGGACAGCCCTCACTCTTCCTAGGCTCTGGAAAATTGGGCGAGAGAGGGCATGGGTCGCCAATGGGATTGAAGATTCACACATTGGCCCTCCCCATTGCCTAGTGAGCTGCTCATTTTGGGAGCTTATTGGAATTTTGGGCGAGCCAAAGGTTCATTACGCGAGTTACCTAGTGCCCTTGGCAAGCCAATGGTGCCAAAGGGCGAGCTCCAGCGTGGGGAAAGTAAGTTTTTGAAGTTTAAGTAAGGGTATTTTAGTAATCTTTCCAAAATTTGAACCAGCACTTTCCCACTCTTTTCCTTACAAATATATATACTTTTTAAAGTCAAAATTCTTCCTTTGTAGTTACTCCCAATTAATAAAGGAAGAAACCCAAGAACATCATCTTTCTCTCTAGAAGATCCTCCATTGAAGAACACCAAGAACTTGAATATTAGGGCTCAAGGATCCAACTTCTCAACTCTAATTCGTGGGCAAAGCTTCAATTAAGGTATGAGGACCTTGATTCATGGAACAATTTTCTCTATGAAGCCCTTCAACTCTTGATTTTGAAATTGGTAACTTGTTCAAAAACTAGGGTTTTCATTCTAAATATGGGTTCTTCCTAAAAATGATTTTATTATGTTAATTGCATTATATTATGGATATTTTGATGTTTAATGGTGATTTTCATTATAAAATTTTCCTTGAACCCATGAACACCCCCATGACCCCAATTTCAAGTATTGTGATGGGTGTATTTATGCAAGATGATTACTATGAATTGTTTCTATGATAATTTAGTTATTGATTCTTGTGTAATTCATGCCTATTGTTGTCACACCCTGAGCTACCCCGAGACGCGGACACGGGACCTAAGACCACAAGTGATCCCAAGCTAACCCTGCTGGCATGATCATGAACATACTAAAGATAATAAACTGATGCGGAAGCTAAATCATAAATAAAATGAAAAGATGGGAAATACCCGTATACTATAACTGAGATAAATGATAACTGATGAGTTTAATACAAGGAAGATATTAACTCAATATTAAGTTGAATCTAACTATGTCTGAAATAAGCCTCTAAACTGACTAGAAGTGCTGGGACATGCCCCAGCTAAGTCTAGAAAATCTGAAACTAAAAGACTGAAAACTAAAAGATGACATGACTATTGTCCTCGAAGAATGAAGACTCACCACTAATGCTGCGGAACTGGAGATCGGGAACTGATCTAAGCGTGATCTGGATGCTGAGAACCTGAACCTACATCACGAGAAGATGTAGCGCACGTATGTGTCAGTACTTGAAAGGTACTGAGCATGCAGGATAGAGTAAAGCTGAAATAACATATAACTGAACAGAGCAATAAAGCAATGAAATAATCTGAATATGATATAGATACTGAAAATACTGAATATTGAGCTAACTGATGCAATGACCAAATTTATAACATACTGAGACTGGATACTGAGTGTACAGAAATATGGTCAATGCAATAGAGTCTGACTGAACAGTGGGAGCTACTAATAACCGACATAAAACCACATGAGCTAAATGTGGAGTCCGATGTATACGCCCCATCGAGAGGACCCAATATACCCTGCCAGAGGTATAGAGGCATGCTGGCGTGATCACTAAACTGATGTTGCCCACAGATGGGACTTACACCTACGTGGCTCGTAATTCTGGGACTATATGGGTACACTGAACCCTAGTCCAACTCGATATTATGCTACTCCCAATAGATTAAGTGATTAACACATTATGACTGAATTTCTGTAAGTTACTGGATAACTCGAACTGAACATACAAACTGAGAATGCAACAATTAATCTGATAATGATACATTAATAACTGAGGCATGTATAACTGAATAAATGAGATATCTGACCTAGCATGTGTAATTCAAGAACTAAAGAAATACATAGCTAGGGTTCTGAAATTTATGCAATAAATTGAGAAATAACATGATAATTTGATTTGGAACATGTTAATAGCTAATTCATGATGATCTACTGTAATTCTAGAAACCCTAGGTCTATTCATAATAAAGGAATCAAGAAACTGACTGAATTCTAGGGACCTAATGGGCGAAAGGAACCCACTAGTGAAATCTCACATACCTAGTGACGAATTCCACGAAGAAATCTTTCGATTTCGGAGCTGAAACTGATGGAACCTTGCTGTGTTCTTGAACTAGGGTTCTTGACCTTTTTCTCCTCTCTTGCTTCTAATTTTCTAAGTTTTGATTAATGGAACATATATTTCCTTTTGTGCTAAAAGTTATGACCATCTGAAGTTGACCCAATCACAATTTTCATCTAACTGGCTGCTACCCTCACATACGGTCAGACCTACAGACCGTGCATTCAATGACGGTCCGTGCTGGTCAACCATCAATCGGGATTGAAGCTGGGCTTTAGGGGAATCGATCCACGGACACAAACCACGGTCCGTGACCTGACCTACGGACCGTAGGTCCGGCCGTGGGTCAACACTTAGACAAATTTCTGGTTGAGTTCTGGGGGAGTTTGCTGACACGAACCACGGACCTGCAAGACGGACCATGGGTCCTCCTACGGTCCGTGGATAGTGCCCGTGAGTGCCACCCGCAACACCAGAAATTTGCAATTTGGTCTATTTTCGGATACGGGGTGTTACAATTGTAGTATCTTTAGGTGTAACTGGGAGACGTGATTCACGACCTTGAGAAAAGAGGTAAATTGCTAGGGTTTGTACATATGGATGCAAGATGTGTATAAACTATTGATTCATTTAGCAAGTAAATCTCCTATGACTAATGTGTAAAGTATGGTATTGTTGAAAGGTTGTTCTTCCCTTACCCTTATACTTGTTGATGCATGAATAGTCTAGGATGATGATAATGTATTGTGTTGATTGAAAGTCTATTTCTCATGAAAACATTATCAATGTAATGTGAAAGTTCTACTCATATGTTAATATTGATTCTAAGGTTGAAAGTACATTCTCTCCTTTAATGAATCTATGAGCTATTATGATGAATTGTATGAATGAAGAGTAGAGCACTCCTTCACACATGTAAATGAAATTTAAGGCTAATTATGTATAATTTGGGAAATAATGCTTAGCACCGAGTGGATATGGATAATGTGGTAAATGCCCTTCCTCCATTGCAATAGGTTGGGTCATCCAAGTGAACTCATGAGATGGAAACTCCTCGCCAATGCAATAGGTCGAGTTTGTAGAAGCAATCTCCCTGTCCCATAACTATGTTCCAACATAGGAATTTAGCTAGTGGATCCACCTTGAGGCTAAACATGTTAGTTCTACCTTAGGCAAGTAGGACACCTTCTTTCGGTGTGGGGTTACACGACACCGGATTCCATGTAGCTCACATGGTCTATGTTGGTTATTGATATTCTTCCCTGTATGAAAAGATAATGAATGAGACATGAACTAAACTATGACTTCTTGGTGAGTTTACTTAATAGGAGTGAGGGTATGGGACTTCACTTCCACATTGAACAAGTGGACTCAGTAGGATGATTATGGGATGGTTCTTTTATGTTATGATAAGATATGAATGTATGCATGTATGTTGAGTGGATAGTTGATATGCATGACTTTCCTTATGTTCAACTAATGTACACGACTATTTCTTTAATTGTGATTAATGATTATAATGAGGTCTAAAAATGATGTGTATGACCAAAGTAGCTTCAAGGGGGTGCTTAGTAAGGTTGGTATTATAGGATGTCAACCATACATTGCACAAGTGTTCCTTAGGGGTTACTAAGGTGATGACTTTAACATGTAATGAGCATAAAGGTGATTTTGGCTTGTCCTTGACATTGAAGATGTATGTTGGTTTCTAAACTTCATAAATGCATTCTTTTCAAATAAAATGTCCTTTTTATCATATTTCAAGGATTTTATGCATGTTTCCATACTTAGTACATATTATGTGCTAACCCCTTCTTTCTTCTACATTTTAATGAGTGTAGGTTCCGGCTAGGTGACTTTCACTCTGCTTTGAAGAAGACTTGGATTGCTTATCTCAAAGTTGTGGTGAGTCCTCAAGTTCGAGGACGGGATTTCCTATTTCTTAGTTTCATTTTGTATATTGTATATTGAGACCTTTATTGATGTAGAGGGCTAAGTCCCAAAACTTCGTATTCCTATGTTTTAGATGGTAAATGATACAAAGTCTAGATTTCCTATTAATTTCTTTTCTGAAAAGTGAAGTTGGACTTCGATTGAAAAGTTTAAAATTTTTCTGCATTATTTCTATGTCTTATGTAATGATGATGCTAGAGGCTTTTATGAGACCCCTTCGGGGTCGAGTATGCCGTGTTACGTCCAGGGGCTAGCCTTGGGTAGTGACAAACTTGGTATCAAATCATAAGGTTTTGGGAATAATATTTAGGTTGATGTCTCATGAAAGCATAAGGTTTTGGGAATAGTATTTAGGTTGATGTCTCATGAACCACGTCTAGTAGAATCTTGTTCATGAGTGTGAAGCGCGCCACACTTATGAATAAGAGGCTACAAGATGTTTAGGAACCTTTACTTCTTTCATTACTCTTTAGTCGTGCTTTGGAGTGCCAACTCTATAAAGTCCTTTCTCCTAACCCTTTTCTTGTGGTTATAGGCAATGAATACAAGAAGGGCTAATGCAAGAAGGGCACAAGAGGAGAATGTGAATGAGGAGGTTTCCCCTCAAGCTCCTCAAGACCCTCAAGATCCTAATGATGAAGGGGTCATGACTAATGTGGAGATAAGGGCGGCTTTTCAAACTTTGACCCAACTCATGACTGTTCAAACTTAAGCCATCACCACTCAAGCCTAAGCCATAAGGACCCAAGCTAGCTGATGAGTTAGGCCCCGGGTAGAGCCCAATGTGAGTACCATGACCTCACGTTTGAGAGATTTCACTAGGATGAACTCTCCTATCTTCTTGGGTTCCAAAATGAATGAAGACCCACAAGAGTTTTTAGAGGAGGTCTACAAGATAGTGGAGGCTATGAAGGTCACTTCAATTCAGAAAGTCGAGTTAGCTGGGTATCAATTGAAAGACGTGGCCCAAGTATGGTACACTCAATGAAAGGACAATAGGCCTATAAGGACGGGGCCTATAAGTTGGGAGGTACTCAAGAATGCCGTCTTTGATAGGTTCTTCCCTCGTGAGGAAAGGGAAGCCAAAGTTGAGGAGTTCATCAACCTTCGCCAATAAGGTATCAGTGTCTAAGAATACTCTTTGAAATTCACTAAGTTGTCCAAATATGAACCCTCTTTGGTTTCTAATCCAAGGGATGAAATGAGTCGCTTTGTCATTGGTATGGCTGATGCTATTGAAGAAGAGTGTCGTGTGGCAATGCTCCATGACAACATGGATATCTCAAGGTTGATGGTTTATGCTCAACAAGTTGAGGAGTCAAGGCTTAGGAACAAGAGTAGAGTGGTGAAGAGGGCAAGGCCCGACGATGGAAATTCTTCTAAGAGTAAGTTTGAAGTCTAAAGTGGACCAAGGTTTAAGAAGAGGTTCTCCAATCAAAGTTCCTCCAATGCTCCAAAACCCAACAAATATAGGGTACCCAACCCTAAGCCTCAAAGTGGCAATAGGGGTGGATCTTCCATGGAGAAGCCTATATGTGCAAAGTGTGGTAAGAAGCATGAGGGGAAATGTCTTGCCAGTATGAGTGTGTGCTATGGATGTGGGAAAATTGGGCACCGATTGAAAGATTGTCCAACCCGTACTACCAAGTGAAGAGAGGGTAATCAAGCTACACTAAGTGGGTTTAATGCCGATTCTCCTAAGAAGAATCGCTTCTATGCCCTCTAATCTAGAAGTGATCAAGAGGGTCCCCGAACGTTGTTACCAGTATGTTACCATTATATTCAATTGATGTTTATGCATTATTAAACCCTGGTGCCACTTTATCTTTTGTTACCCTTTTTGTGGCTATGAAATTTAAAGTGTCTCCCGAAGAGTTAAAAGAACCTTTTTCCGTGTCTACCCTGGTAAGTGATTCGGTTATAGCTAAAAGAGTGTATAGGAGATGTCCTATCTGCTCTTCTCATAGAGTCACTTTGGTTGTTTTAATAGAATTAGATATGTTGGACTTTGATATCATCTTGGGGATGGATTGGCTTCATGCTTGTTTTGCTTCCATTGATTGTAGAACTCGGATAGTAAAGTTTCAATTTCCAAATGAGCCCGTCTTAGAATGGAAAGGGGGAAAATCAATCCCTAGAGGTCGGTTCATTTTATGTATAAAAGCTAGTAAAATGATTTCTAAGGGGTGTGTCTATCATATTGTTAGGGTTATGGACATTGAATCTGAGACTCCTTCTTTAGAGTTGGTCCTTGCAGTGAGGGAGTTTCCGGAAGTCTTTCTTGATGACTTGCCCAGAATTCCTCCCGAACGAGAAATAGTCTTCGACATTGTTCTTTTGCCGGATACTCAACCCATATCAATTCCCCCTTACCGGATGGCTCCAGCCGAACTAAAAGAATTGAACGCACAACTCAAGGATTTGCTAGACAAAGGTTTCATTCAACCAAGCATATTTCCATGGGGTGCTTCGGTATTATTTGTGATAAAGAAAGATGGGTCCCTTAGGATGTGTATTGATTACCGCCAATTGAACAAGGTCATTATAAAGAATAAGTACCCTCTCCCTAGAATTAACGATTTGTTTGACCAACTCCAAGGGGCGACTTACTTTTCAAAGATTGACTTAAGGTCAGGCTACCTCCAACTTAGGATGAGAGAGGTGGACATTTCTAAAACGTCCTTCCGAACAAGATATGGTCTTTATGAATTCCTAGTCATGTCCTTTGGTCTAACAAATGACCCGACAACATTCATGGACTTAATTAATAGGGTATTTAGGCAATATCTTGATTCGTTTGTGATTGCGTTTATTGACGATATTTTGATCTATTCAAGGAGTGAGGGTGATCATATGAAGCATTTGAGGATAGTATTGCAAGTCCTTAAAGACCACCAACTATATGCTAAGTTTAGTAAGTGTGAGTTTTGGCTAAGGTCCGTTGCTTTTCTTGGCCATATTGTTTTGGGTAAGGGTATTGAGGTTGATCCTAAGAAGACGGATGCGGTCATGAGTTGGCAAAGACCTTTATCCCCTACCGATATTTGAAGCTTTTTGGGTTTGGCCGGTTATTATCGGAGATTTGTTGAGGGCTTTTCCTCTATTGCTTCTCCATTGACAACCTTAACTCAAAAGAAGGCTAAATTTGAGTGGACGGAGGTTTGTGAGAGAATCTTCCAAGAATTTAAAGATAGGCATACCTCCGCTCCGGTGTTGACCTTACCGGAGGGTACCGATGTGTTTGTGGTATATTGTGACGCTTATCTAGTAGGTTTGGGATGTGTCCTTATGTAACGGGGTAAAATGATCACTTATGCTTCAAGGCAACTCAAGATTCATGAAAATAATTACCCGACTCATGACCTTGAATTAGCAGCGGTGGTATTTGCTTTGAAAATATGGAGACATTACCTATATGGGGTCCATGTAAATGTGTTTACCGACCACAAAAGTCTTCAATATGTGTTTAGCTAAAAAGATTTGAATCTCCGACAAAGAAAGTGGTTAGAGCTTTTGAAAGATTATGACATGACTGTCCTATATCACCTCGGAAAAGCTAATGTAGTTGCGGATGCCCTAAGTAGATTGTCCATAGGTAGTGTGGCTCATGTAAAAGATGAGTAGAAGGAATTGGTTCGCGATGTGCATAGATTGGCCCGGTAAGGTGTCCAACTAGTGGATTCCACCAAGGGTGGATTCATGGTTCATCATAGTTCCGAATCATCCTTTGTAGTTGATGTGAAGTCTAAGCAACATCTTGATCCTATCCTAATGGAATTGAAAGAATCGGTTCTCAACAAGTCCGTTGAGGCTTTCTTCTAAGGGGGAGATGGGGTGCTTAGGTACCAAGGTAGATTATGTGTTCCGGATGTTGATGGCTTGAGAGAGCAAATTTTGGAAGAGGCTCATGGTTCGCGGTATTTTATTCATCCGGGAGCCACCAAGATATATCGTGACATACGAGAAGTCTATTGGTGGAATGGCATGAAGAAGGGTATATCGGGTTTTGTAGCATAATGTTCTAAGTGTCAACAAGTTAAGGCTGAGCACATGAAACTGGGAGGTTTGCTCCTAGATATAAATATTCTCACTTGGAAGTGAAATGAGGTGAATATGGACTTTGTTGTGGGTTTGCCTCGTACTCGAAGGCAACATAATTCTATTTGGGTCATTGTTGATAGAATGACTAAGTCATCCCATTTCCTTCCCGTCAAGACTACTTTTTTTGGCGGAAGATTATGCTAAGTTGTACATCAAGGAGGTAATGAAGTTTCATAGGGTTCTTTTTGTCTATCATATCGGATAGGGGTGCTCAATTTACTTCAGATTTTTGGAAGGCGTTTCAACAAGGGCTTGGTACCAATGTTAAACTTAGTACCGCCTTCCACCCTCAAATGGATGGTCAAGTCAAACGCACCATTCAAACCTTAGAGGACATGTTGAGGGCGTGTGTGATTGATTTCAAGGGTAATTGGGACGATCATCTTCCTTTGATAGAATTTGCCTACAACAATAATTACCACTCTAGCATTGCCATGGTTTTGTTTGAAGCACTATATGAAAGAAGGTGTAGATCTCCGGTTGGGTGGTTTGAGGTAGGTGAGTTTGCTCAAATTGGTCCCGAACTAGTCTATGATGGCATTGAGAAAGTTCGACTCATTAGAGAAAGGTTGAAGATGGCCCAAAGTCGGCAAAAGTCTTATGTCAACAATAGAAGAAGGGATCTTAAATTTGAGGTTGGTGATTGGGTCTACTTGAAAATTTCGCCTATGAAAGGTGTGATGAGGTTTGGCAAGAAAAGGAAACTTAGTCCCCGGTATGTGGGCCCATACCAAATCTTGAAGCGTATTGGGAAAGTTGCTTATGAGGTGGACTTGCCAAATGAGTTGGCTCCGGTTCACCCGGTGTTTCATGTTTCCTTGCTCAAGAAGCATATTGGTGATCCGGTTTCTATCCTTCCTTTATAAGGTTTAGGAGTTGATGAGAACCTTTCTTATGAAGAAGTCCCGGTTGAGATTTTGGACTGACAAGTAAAGAGGCTGAGGAATAAGGAAGTAGATTCCGTTAAGGTTCTATGGAAGAATCACTTAGTTGAGGGTGCTACATGGGAGGCCGAAGCCGATATGAAGTCCTGTTATCCTCATCTTTTTCCTTCTACTCCTATTCAAACGTGAGGTAAGCAATTCCTCTTGAGTTTAAGTGTTTTGGGAGTCGTGTGTGTAGTATGAATTTTCCATGATTTCCTTAAAATAATGCATGTTCTAGTGAGAATTCATGTTTAGCATATATTAAGTCTTCACGATGTAAATGTTCCTCATGTTGATTTGCATTTTTGTTATGATGGTTGCATACTTGACTTCATGAGTTGAAATTTATGAACATGCTTAGTTATGATTTTTATGAAATGACATGTTGGCTCCATATTGTTGTGTTGAGCTTGCTTTAAGTTGGAGAAGGTAGTTCCTCCCACGATTTATGTGAATCAATGAGATTTATGCATGGTGGGCTGTAGATGTAGTTTCCTACTTTCTTGAGATTGCATTGGTTATGTATTGAGAATGGAGTTGATGTTTCCTCTTATGAATTGTGCATTTTGTTATGTTGCGTGCTTGTTGGGCTGCTAGTCTTGAGTCTACACTTCCGTAAGGTGTCTAGATCGTCATTCGAGGACTAATGTCACCAAGGGGGAGATAATGTAACACCCCGGAAAAA